GCTGCTCACCAATGGGGAGACAGCCCAAAAGGAAGGCACGCAGGTGAGAAGGGGGCCCAAGCTGGGATGAGTCCAGGATACAGTGCCTAGCATTACAGAAGCAGAAATTGGGCTAGCATGCCTTGTTTGTCAGGGAACATATTCACCAACTGCTCCTTCCTTATGTCCTAGCCCCTGGAGCTGTGAAAACTAATCTCTTCTATTCTCCTCTTCTAAAACCAAAATGAAATAACAGGAATGGTGTTTTACCATACATACAACCCTATAGTCATAGACCACTTGTGCAAATTAGGTGCCCTCAGTTTCATTTTTAAAGCCTTCCTTTCATATTTCTGTACACTTTGTGGTCAGGCATGAGTAATATACCACAGGAACAGCTATTTGTTTGGGGAAAACGTAGCAACACACATATCCCACCCCCAAATTGCCACCATATACCCCAGGAAGCAAGTTCCATTTCCGGTATGTTCTGATATGCTTGAAGCAACCTTGTTTCCTATCAGTTCAGCTGCTAGCTAACATGTCTGTCCATGTTGGCTCTTCTAGAATCAGAGAATTTGGCCTTAAGGGCCATCTATTTCAACTCTCTGCCAGTGCAGGAACCTACAGCTAGAGTACTCTTGAGAAGTGAGCATCCAACCTCTGTTTAAAGGCCTCCAAAGAGAGTCTACTGCCGCCCTCTCCCTTTCTGTTCTTCATGCCCCTTAGCCTTGATGACTGTGCAGGCAAGCATTTTTGAACCAGAGCTTGGAAAGGTTACTTTTGGGCTACAGCTGCCAGAAACCCCCAGACAGCATGGCCACAGTCACTGGGAACTGAAGTCTGTAAAAGATTTTTTCTAAGTTCTGGTCCAGGATAAAGAGAATGGTTGGGAGGAATATACCACTGGATGTTCAGATGGGTTCTGATCAGGTTTCTTCCTAGGGTTGCCAAGTGAGATAAGGGATAGGGCTGTTGCTGTTGTCTGCCTTTGTTTCTGACTTACAGCAACCCTAATGCAAACTCATTGCAGGGTTTCCTTGGCAAATTTGTTCAGAGCCTTCTTCTGAGGCTGAGAGAGTGTGACTTGGCTATGGTCACCCTGTGAGTTTCATGGCTGAACAGGGATTTGCAACCTCTTTTCCAGAGTCTTTGGGCCCATCTATAAAGCCATGTAAAATCCAGATTATCTGCTTTGAACTGGATTATATTAGTCTATACAGCCATATAATCCAGTTCAAAACAGATAATCTGGATTGTATATGGCAGTGTCGATGGGGTCTTAGTCTAACACTCAGTCACTGCCCCATGTGGGATCTCCTGGGACAAGGCTGATGTCATGGTAAGAGTTGGGTAGTAAAGGAAATCCCAGCCCCATCCCTGATGCCATCAGGCAACCCTGCTTCTTCTTTACTTTCCTCATGAAACTCAGCTTGAGTTTTCTGATTTGATTGCAGAGAGGGGGATGGGATTAGCAAACACTGAAAGATTCAGCAACAAGCAGCCACCATTAAATAGCTGGCTTTTGCTTTTTTATTTTTAAATTGTGTGGGTGGGTGCAGGAATTAAGACAGCCAGATGGAGTGTGATTTTAGGGTATGTGGCATTTCCCTTGAGTCTCCAACCCATATTATAACCCTCCCACCATTTTTCATCTCCCCCCCCCCCCCGCACCTCTCAATTTCCCTTCTCCTGTCTTTTTAAACGGGCATCCTGGGCATTTAGGATAATGATTGTGAGGCATGTGTTTATTGCAGAGGTGTATCAAGAACTCCCAAGCCCCCCTCCCCCTTCTTCCATTTCAGATGGCTTTGGGAAAACAATTTACCTGGAAACCTGGGAGAGTTATCATGAGTACACTCCCTGCCTTGTTCCTTTCCCACCCCTTCCCTTTCCCACCTCATTACAAAAATAAACTGGCCTTTCAGGGAAAAAATTTGCAGCAAAACCATGAGTCCTGGATGTAGCAAACAGCAAGTTGGAGCAGTTTGCTGTGCTGGGCAATTTAAAGTGTCTGCCAACTATCAGTATTCTATCCTCAGTTGGCATTTCCTGTGCAATCTACATGGATTTTCCTGTTTTAACCACCTATTTTTACCTGGCCAGTTCTGTGCTCCTCTCCATTGGTGTTCATGACTGGGAGAACAAAACCAAAGCTGCTCATTAACTCTAGAACAATTGATTGGGAATTCAAGGATGTGAACATCTGCCAAAGCACAGCACTGGTACAATAGTTTGGCTTTCTCTTCCAGACGAGTGAAGGTTATTTCAGCCAGTCACAAGACGAGGATTTCAATCAATCAGAAGAACCATCTGCTAAAGCTCCTCCTCCGCTGTTCTACAATAAGCCCCCAGGTAAGAGTCACTGCAATGGACGTCCGCCTCTTCTAATCATTCCTGGAAACATTTAGGACTTCCTATCTCGGGTCACTGCATGGCAGAGTTGCTTTTTTGGACAACAGATGGAAGCTGTGGTTCAAGGCTAGGGATTTTCCTAAAGTCTGGGTTGTTGTGGGGATTTCGGGCTGTATGGCCATGTTCCAGAAGCATTCTCTCCTGATGTTTGCCCTGCATCTATGGCAGGCATCCTCAAAGGTTGTGAGGCCTCACAACCTCTGAGGATGCCTGCCATAGATGCAGGTGAAATGTCAGGAGAGAATGCTTGTAGAACATGGCCATACAGCCCAAAAAAACCCATAATAATCTAGTGATTCTAGCTATGAAAGCCTTCGACAATACATTTTCCAAAGTTTGCTTTAGAAGGCTGGTCCACTCAAACAAATAGATCATCTCTCATTGCTAATTCATTTGGTTTTACCTTCAGAGATCGATATTACCTGTTGGGATGCTGACCCAGTGCCAGACGATGAGGAGAGCTTTGGGGGCAGCGTTTAAGACCAGCTCCTGCATCCAACTCCTGTATCCTGCACCCAGCAAGCCCAGCGTCTGCAAGCCTGGAGCAACTGCAGTGAAGGCCTGGTGCCTGCTTGCTCCGTATTGTAGCCCTGCGGTCCAAGGCCTCAGATTGTACCCCAGCCAGATAGGATATACTCCATGGTACCCTGGGGTAACTTTTTTCCAGCGTGCGCTCTTCTCTTTCTCTTTCTCTTTCTCTTTCTCTCTTTTTTCTAATGTTGTCAAATAGGAAATGTGTAAATCTGCCTGGTCCCCTCTTTGTTGGTAGCTCCCCTGCAGCCCCCCCCCCCTTCCTCTGACTTCTGCCCATCGGGTTTTTTTTATCCCGCCCCACCTCCCCCAAAATGCCATTTATGCCAACTGAGTTGACCTCCTACGTGTGCTGCTCTTGTGGGTGGGTGAAGGAGGGGCCTTTCCTCCTCTCAGACTCCACCCAGAGTTTTGAGGATTTTGCACGAATTTTAAATAAAATATGGCAATAAAATGGCCCTGTGTGGGCAAGGCTCTGGCTCCCATCACCTCACCCTCCTTTGGTCCCCAACAGGGAAGTGACAAGAGCCCCGTTCAGCTTTGGGGCTCCAGCAGGAGTTAGCAGCAGCAAGGAATGTTTTTTCCAACCACGGTTCAACGCCATGGCCCTGTGTCTGAGAGCCGGCCCAAACCAGACCCTTCTCTTCAGGTCTTTCTTTGCCCTGAGAGCCTGGGACAAGGGGAGACTCTGGCTGGGCTCCCCATCTCTCCTTCTTTTCTTCTCCCGACCCTTTCCCTCTCCCATTCCATGCTTGGTTTCCTTTCTCTCACGTACAGTAATTGTTTTTTTTTTGAAAGCACAAATTCTGTAACAGCAATGTGCTTATGTATGTTAATAAATAAATTGATTCCAAGCAGGGCAGCTGGCTTTGCAGCACAGGGTGTCTTTTTTGCATTTAAAGGGGAAATTTGGGGAAGGAACATGGAAGTTTGTGGGTGTTTGGGGAAGATTCCACCAAAGATCACCGAGGACTCATCCTACCTATCACTTGTTTTGATTCCAAAATGTGTGGGTAGGCTCGCATTGTTTTGTAGCCATAAAAGGTTAAAAGGTACTTTCAGATTTCAGATTAGGAAAATGTCAACATGCATGTGCAAAGTAAATAAGGAAGGAGAGGAGAAATAATTGTGGGTGACAGTATGCCTGTCAGAGCTGTTCAGCAGTGGAATTCTCTGCCCCGGAGTGTGGTGGAGGCTCCTTTTTTGGAGGCTTTTAAACAGAGGCTGGATGGCTATCTGTCAGGGGTGCTTTGAATGTGATTTTCCTGCTTCTTGGCAGGGGGTTGGGCTGGATGGCCCACAAGGTTTCTTCTAACTCTATGAGTCTATGACTCCATGCAGTCAGTAGTAGGTGCCAGATGAAGTCATAGCTTGAAGCAGAGAATACACCAGTAGGTGGCGCTGGTAACAAAGGAATGCATTTGTGGACCTTTCAGACTGCCAATAGAGCCAAAATACCTGAAGGGAACAGATCCTGCCTGATCTTGGAAATTAAGCAGGGTCAGCCCCTGCTTAATTTCCCCCATTGGCAGGTTTGAATCCGGGGAGAGTGCAGATGAGCTCCCTCTGTCAGCTCCAGCTCCCCATGTGGGGACATAAGAGAAGCCCCCTATAAGGATGGTAAAACATCAAAACATCAGGGCATCCCCTGGGCAACATCCTTTGCAGATGGCCAATTTTCTCACAACAGAAGCGACTTGCAGTTTCTCAAGTCGCTCCTGACACAGAAACAAATCAACAAAATCAGGATCAGCCCTGCTTAGCACTTGGATGGGAGAGCACCAATAAATATTAGCTGCTGTGGGCTATATTTTAGAGGAAGGAAATGGCAAACTACCTCTCAGTATACGTTCCTTGCCTACAAAAAATCCCTGGAATTCATGATGTCAATTCGGAGGGACATAGACACAGCCTACACATCACCTATGGGAAGTTCAAACCAATAATCAGTGGGATAGGATTAAATAAATTGAGAATGAGGGTTGCTTTACTTTCTACCACCATGCACATGGCACTGTAAGAACACGATATCCCAACATGTCTCAGACACATGGACTCAACCACCCAGTACCAGGTTTGTAATAAATCAGGTTCCACAAACTTTATTATTGTCAAAATGTAACAAACAAAAAATAGGAAACAAAGTTTAGGCCAAGCCAGAGGCCCCCCCTTGCAGTCAGCACCAACAGAGCCTGTAGTGGGCCCAGAAAAAGGGAAGAGGGTGAGATGGGGAGACCAGCCCCACTCTTGCCCTGGCTGAGAGGTCAAAATAGCATCAACGGGGATTCTTTGCCTTGTAAAGGCCTGTGGCCCAGACATGGCTGGAAGGCTTGGACTAAGGGGCCTTGGTGGCGCCCACGGGCCAAGGGAACAAGCTGCCCAGACCCCAATGTTCGGGCAGCAACCCACAGTCCCCACCCCCACCCACCCCAGTTTGTGGCATGGCATGCTAAACTGCCGTAGTCCTGCCAAACAAAGGCATTGAGACAGGCAGATGCCAGGGCCCAGGCTCATAGCTGTCTCTGGTGCTGAGTTCAGAGTCTGTCCAGCTCGGGAAGATGCGCTGCGAATGGTCTGATTCCAAGTAGAGGTTGGTGCAAGTAGGGCCCCGGCTGGTTGAGCTTGGCAGCTGGAGGGCTGAGCCGTATCCCCGGTCCAGGAAAAGGGGCTTATAGCTGGGTGGCTGCTCCTGCTTCTCTGGCTGATCATGGCTCAGGAAGGGGGCGTTAATCTTGCGGTACAAGCCCCGTGTGTCTGTCAGGACTTCGCTGTATGGTGGCGGGGGCTCAGCCATCAGGACAGCTTCCTCATAACAGGGGGGCTTGGATGGATCCGGATCGACAAGTGAAGATATCACACCTGTTGAATACAAAGAGCTGTGACACATGGGGTATTGACCCAATGTACCCATCCCGAGGATGCCAGGCGATATTCTTTGCTCCCTGCTCCCAATGAAATAGAAGTCATCCCAGGTGAAGTTTGGAAGTACAGTACTGTTATCCCTGATCTCTAGTATTCTATTAGATTACATTTTATCCTGACTTTCTGTCTCACAATTAGCTCTCAAAGTATAGAAAGGTGCTGACATCCAATGAATGTTAATTTGAAATACAATTAAAATGTATCAAAAAGGGAAGTTGTTACTCGACCAGTTAGGGGTCTCTCTGTAAAATGAAGGGCAGTAGACATTTTTTTTCATGTCAGGAGTGACTTGAAAAACTGCAAGTTGCTTCTGGTGCGAGAGAATTGGCTGTCCGCAAGGACATTGCCTAGGGGACGCCCAGATGTTTTAACATTTTAACATCCTTATGGGAGGCTTTGCTCATATCCTCACAATGAGGAGCTGGAGCTGATAGAGGGAGCTCACCCGTGCTCTCTTCAGATTCGAACCTGTGACCTGTTGGTCTTGAGTACTGCTGCCGCAAGGATTTAACCCATTGCGCCACCGGGGGCTCCATAAGTGGCCATTGAGAAAGCCAAAAAATTGGCAACAATTATGAAAACATGTATAGCAAGTAAGAAAACAAGCTAGGTAGGGCAGGTGTGACTATTGTTACATTTCTGGAACAGGGCCTCCTACTCAGTCATCTTATCTTATTATCTTATTTAAATGCCTATCATTTAAATAAGATAATCAGCATAAGAAACCAAAATACATGGCTTTCCAGAGATTGTTGGGCTCCAATTCCCAGAATCATCCGCTAGCGAAAACAATTGTGAGGCATGATGGGATATGCAATACCAAAAACTTTTCAAGGGCAAGATGCTGAGCCCTGTTTTGTACACTGCAGGGATCACTCATTTCTGCATGCTTTCAAGAAGCTGAGACTATAAAATAGAGTAATGAATAATCATTTCAATTCTTACAGCTTTCAGACTCTGAAATGTCAGGTCAGCCACATACCTGGCCATTGATCTGTTCCCCTGCCCCGAGCCACCATCCCTTTAGTCCTGCACCACAGTGGTGTCCTCTACAGCCCACCCAACCCCTTTGCCCCTTACCATGCCTGCAGCTCCATGGGCGTGGGGGTGGGATGTGAGGGCGATGAGGCTCAATGCGGAGTCGGTGGGGCACGGGGATGCCTGGTGGGTTTCTGATGTAGCCACCGCCATAGCCAGGGCCCCCATAGGCAGGGCCCCCATACCCCTCGTAGTGCAGGGGCTCCATCTCCAGAGTGCGCAGGTGCTGCTCCCGCAGCCGCTCCTCCTGCCGTCGTTTCATGCGCCGCCGCAAGTAGCTGCAGAAGCAACACAGCAGCACAATGAGCCCCCAGATAAGCCAGAAGCCGGCAAAGCAGGTGAGGAAGGTGTAGGTGCCGTGGGACATCACCATCTTGGCTCCTGAAGGGGGCAGGGGGTTTGAACCCGAAAGGTCTTCTTCAGTGCAGTTGGGCAGGGAGTTGGACTGGAAGGAAGACTTGCTCTCTTTCTCTGTAGTTGCTTCCGCAAAGATGTACAAACGGGCTTACTTCTGCAGACGACTTTCTCTCTGCATCCCTTGCTGCCCAGCCATGTTGATGGGACTGTAAGCCTCCCCCTGCTCCCCTTGAACTTGCTCTCTTGCCTTTTCCAAAATATGGCCGAAGTCCTGGCTTAAGGCCACATTACCATCCAGGGGCCACCACTTGCATGACCTCAGTCAAGGGCAGTGCAATTTCGGGTCCCGGTTTGGTGTGCGTGCAGCAGCTTAGCCCCTTCCAGTCACGCCGCCTCCAGCATGTGCTCTGCAGCCGTTGCCATGGGAACGGTCGGCTGGATGCTGGGACCGACTTGGGCTTTTCACAGGGAGGGGGGAGTTCTTGCCCCTAAAGGAACCCAATGGAGGAAAGCAGAGGGTTGGGGCAGTTCGCGGGCACGGCCTGGACTCTCTTCTTCGAGCTCCTGTGTTCTCGGATACTTGGTTTGGCAAGACCAGTAACACCAGCACCCGGCCCAACTTCTTCCCATTGCGGGATCAGGGCTTTGCAGGGCCAATGGCAAGACTGGCAGGAACTCCTTCTCTGCAAACAGACAAACAAGGCCGTTGAGCCAAGAGAGGCAGACAGGTATTATTTCACAGAACATGCCCTGTGTTCACTTAATCCCTCCCCCGTTAACATGAGCAAAGCAGCAACGGAGGGAACTTCGTGGAGGAGAGCACAGTCATCCCAGCATGCATGATGCCAGCATCCCTCTCCTCCAACACAAAGGAGGCTGTACTTTCAAGCTGATACCAAGAGGATGAGAAAGCAGCCTCCTTTCCCCACCCATACACATATGAATACCAGCCAAGTAGCCTCCTTGCTTCACCAGTCTATGCCAGTAACTGAGCAAAGTGACTACAGCTACAAAGACAAAACACTGACCAAACATAGGCATTTCTACTGGCACAAAGAGAAGGCCAAACTACTGTTAGCGAACCAGTTGTTGTTGTATGCCTTCAAATAATTTCCATCTTATGGTGAAAATATTGTAGAGTTTTCTGGGGCTGAGGCTTGCCCAGGGTCATCTAGTAGGTTTTCATGGCTGTGGATTTGAACCCTGGTCTCCAGAGTCATAATTCAACACTCAAACCACTACATATCCACAATTCACCCATTTGGTTGTTTTGGAGGTTGAATTTCAGTTCTGACCATGCAGCAATCAAAATACGCCTAACTCACCTTTAAGGGGTACAGTTGCCCTGACGTGGCCATTTCTGTGTTGTCAGAGTGTGAGGGGATGAATGGGGAAGTGTCCTGCCATTTTCCCGTAGCTGGATGAACTGCAAGGCTGTCATTTGTATGGCTATCGTGTGTGTCTGCAGATGCCTGGCATAGATGTCCTCACTTTCTAGCAACACTACCATGCTGGTGGGGACTGTTCCTCCCAAAGGATGGTGGGGGAGGGGGGGCAGAAATAGCTCTGGAGATGTAGCTAAATGATATATATACACCTTTCAATGCTGGATCTAGGCCATTGATTTTCTAAGCCAACAATGAGTCCCATTTCTGCCAAGATGATGAATGCCTGAAAAAGAAAGAGTGCAAGATAGACTATATACACCTGCGCCAGAGCACATGACATGCCACAGCTCTGGCAGGGAAGAGGAGTTTCAGAAAAGGACAAAGCACAAAACATTTAATTCTGCAGCCAGAGAAGCTGACAGAACAGCAAAGCTCAAGTACAAAAGTGCTGCCTGAAATTTCCTCCTAATGGGATTGGCAGGCCAAGTGCACTTGCTTTTCTCTCCAGCAGCAACCGCTACATGTACGATGCACACCTTCCCCACACCAGAGCTGGCTAGCCACATGGCACAAGGTCTATTTGGTTTCTTTTCCCATTCTCTATCAAGTCATAGAATAATGGCCACCAACTTTCCATACAGTGTAGTCGTATATGCAATTTAATGCCTTAAGCTAAATTTGTCACTTCCACCATGAAAAGCCACAATAGCTACTCTGCACCCTCTTCCTTGTTATATTAGCAGCTACTCTACTCCGAACTCAAGAATGGGAAATGGAATGTTGGTGGACAGGAAAAGAGATTTAAAGATGGGCTTAAAGCCAACCTTAAAAACTGTGGCATAGACAGTGAGAACTGGGAAGCCCTGGCCTTTGAGCGCTCTAACTGGAAGTTAGCTGTGACCAGCAGTGCTGCAGAATTCAAAGAGGACGAAAGAGAGAAACGTCCAAGAGGAAGGTGCGTCAAGCCAAACCTGACCAGGATCGCCTTCCACCTGGAAACCCATGACCTCACTGTGGGAGAAGATACGGATCAAGAATAAGGCTCCACAGCCATCTACGGACCACTACCAAGACACCACATCTGGAAGACAATCATCCTCGAGCTACAAAGGATCACCTAAGAAGAAGGAAGTCTGCTCCTCAGGCCATGTTTTCAGGATAACAGAGACACTCCAAATAAAAAAGTTCTCCATACAATACAGAGGGCAGCCACTCCTTGTCTGTAAAGTCAAACATAGGAAGTAGTACTCCTGCTGGAGTAAAGTTACCTTTTGGACTAATCTCCCAACGTGCAACCAAAGATATAACTGGAGATTCCCTGAGATGTAATCCAAAAAGTATCCTTTTCAAACTGTGAGCTTCCTCAAATTTTACAATCCCAATACCATAGCCTCAACTTGTCCTCAAGGTTGTCCTCTCAGTCTTAGTTTTATGACAAATGTGCAATCAGCAGTCTTCAAACAGAGCACCTATAGGTCTCAAATGAGGGCATGCATGTGTTTTGTATGAAAAAGTCATATCTATGCATGCTCTAAACATAATGGTCACTGATAACATAACTTATATTAGCAAAGAATTGTCAGCAGCTGTGATTAAATTCTTTTGAGAAGCTGTATGCTGGGCAAACAATCTCCTTCTGATCAAAGTTCCCATGATGTTGATGAAAACTTGTTGGAAGCCATCATGAGCCAGAGGTAAAAAGTAGGCATGGTTAAGAGATATAAGCGACATTCATTACATTACAGCTATACAGCCAGAACCAAAGTGAAAGAACTACAAATATAACCCAATGTGCATGGGGAATTTTTCTGTACTCAGTTTTTTGTGTGCACGTCAAGAGAGACTTGAGAAACCACAAGTTGCTTCTGGTGTGAGAGAATTGGCCGTCTGCAAAGACGTTGCCCAGGGGATGCCAGGATGTTTTGATTTTTTACCATCCTTGTGGGAGGCTTCTCTCATGTCCCCAAATGGGGAGCTGGAGCTGACAGAGGGAGCTCATCCGTGCTCTCCCTGGATTCGAACCTGCGACCTGTCCGTCTTCAGTCCTGCCAACACTAGAGTTTAACCCACTGCACCTTCTGTACTCAGATTTGGGGCTCCTTCTGTTCTCAGATTTGGTAATAACTACTACAGAACTAGGCTGACCATGTTTCCTGTTGTTCAGGGGTTTCCAAGTGAAGTTATGTGGATCCTGAAAGGATCATATTCAAAAGGTTTAGCTACTCCAGAATTTTGTTCCTACAGCAGCCAATGCAGAGTTTGGGTAAGTTACTTTTTTAAACTACAGCTGGCCATGCTGGTTGTGGATTTTTAAGGACTATACATTATGAGTCTTTATCTGAAGGATAATACCTGCTGTTTCATTTATGCATTTCCTACAAAATATGGCCTCTCTAGGCATTTTCTACTACAACAGTATGATCATCTTCAACTGGTAGTCCTTCGTTTCAATAGGATTTGCTATTAACAACATAAAGTTTAGGAATATATGCCCTGTAGATACAGAGGTTGTACTATATTAGCAGAATTTAGCATTTTCAAATCCTGATGATCAGAAGCCTAAGAATCAGGGCATACTTGCAACAGAAGAGAAGTACTTTGGCCACATAATGAGAAGATAGGAAAGCTTAGAGAAGACAATATTGCTGGGGAAAATGGAAGGAAAAAGGAAGAGGGGCCGACCAAAGGCAAGATGGATGGATGGCATCCTTGAAGTGACTGGCTTGACTCTGAAGGAGTTGGGGGTGCTGATGGCTGACAGGGAGCTCTAGCGTGGGCTGGTCCATGAGGTCACAAAGAGTTGGAAGCAACTGAACGAATAAACAACAACAAAGCACCTTCTGATCTTCCTTCAGACATAGACAGCAGTATTACTCACAACCTCAAAACTTCAATGAATTACAAGAGAGCAAGCCACATCTAATATGAAATGTTTCTCCATCCCCACCACCATTCTCTACCATGTTTAATTACTATGAGGCTAAGCAAATTATTTGTTATCAGAGTTCAAGCTAGACACTCAAAACTAGCTTCATTTTTTGTGGCTAGACTTAATTTATATCTGAGATCTAATGAAGAATGTACAGTTCACAAGAGCAAGAAATCTCTGTAACGGTTAAGGTAGAAAGAATCTGTGCTCAGCGGTCTTGCATATGTTCTCTTGAAAATGCAAGGAGTGCCTTGAAGAATTCCAGAAACTAACAACCACTGGGAAAGACCATTGAAAAGCACCAGCAAGAATTGCTCTGATGACCAAACAATAGGTGTCAAAAATCTTTTCCAGTGAAGGAGTTTCCCGTTCTTGCATGCTGGAGGAGGGAAAGGACACCTCTTTCAGCCCAAGGGCTGAATTCCATTTCTGTAAAGTTCTCCAGTGGCAAGCAGAGCCAAAGGGTGGGGCCAAAAATACCAACATACTTTCGCTTAAAGCTCTTACTGCCAGAAACTAAATCTTAGAGGAGGCATTTCAACTTTTTAGGAAGGGAAAATCATGTACAAATGTTGGGAGACAGCCTAATGAGGATATCATTGAGAGGAGGTGTCAGAGAAACCCAGGTTTGCTTCTTCCCCATGCACTTTGGTCTCTACCCTTGTAAGCCTTTACCAATTAGCAGCTTTGGCCATCTTTGTGATTCTCCTCTGAATCTTAGAACACAAAGGCCAAAAGGAATCCATGTGAGGTTCAGTTGGGGCTAAAGTAAAGCACTCCCTTCTGGATAGAATCCTACTACTCTCAATCACAGAGAAACACAGAGTTAGAAAGGACCTCAAGAACCATCTAGTCCAATCCCCAGTTAATGCAATAGATCCCTGAATCTACTAGTGAATGGTGGTTCAATAGGGAGATAAATCAGTTGACTCAAGGTTGGTCCGGAAAGTGGGGTGGGCTGGTTGGCCACTGTGGCACACAGGAGGCTGGGCTGGGTGGCCTTTGGATCCATTGCAGCAGGGCTCCCTGTCTCCTCTTGGGGATACCACTAGTCCCTTGTGTTTAGAAGCCCGAGTTCTAAACACAAGCTTTAGGTGCAAGCTTTATTGTTCTGTAGCTGCCAAGGCTACAGGCCAAGTGATGTAGCGTTTTTAGACAGTTAAAATAAAACCTGGAGTAGATTACCTATACTTAAAGGTAAAGGCAAAGGTTTTCCCCTGACATTAGGTCCAGTCTTGTCAAGCTCTGGGGAATGGTGCTCATCTCCATTTCTAAGCCGAAGAGCCGGCGTTGTACGTAGACATCTCCAAGGTCATGAGGCCAGCATGACTGCATGGAACGCCCTTACCTTCCTGCCAGAGAGGTACCTATTAATCTACTCACATTTGCATGTTTTCAAACTGTTAGATTGGCAGGAGCTGGGCCTAACAGCGGGAGCTCATGCTGCTCCCCAAATTCAGACCTGTAACCTTTCAGTCTGCAAGTTCCGCATCTCAGTGCCTTAACCACAGTGCCACTGTGCCACCGGGGGTTCCTTATCTGTACTTAGTCCAGGGCATTTTAAGAAACCTGGCCTGGGTCTGCTGCAAACATTTAACTGGGATGCAAACCAATGCCAAGGTGTTGGAAAACACTTTTCTGGTGATGCATAGCCAGCCCTCTATGTCCCATGAGACAGCCTGGTGAAAGATCCCAGTCATCAGGGATGAAGTGGAGCCAATGTTCACTGATTCAAAGCCCTGAGGAGTTTGGATTTGCAGAAGTAATAACATCACCTACTCTCCCCCAATGCACACCTCCTTCTGAATGTAGCAGATACCCCAGAGTACTTGGAGCAAAAGTGTATTCTTCCCAGTGGCAATGAATTGGTTATGCGTTGTCCTAAATAGTATTTAGAAGTGTTATATATGTGTATATGTATATACATATACAGACACATATAAACCTTCTTCCTTGTGGAGATGAAAATTGCTGGAAATTGTTTGAGACCAACAAAGCTGCTTGCACTTTTGGACCTTCGATCATTACGTTGCTATAGAGACTCTTGTGGTGAGGGCCTACACTTCAGTATTTAAAAGACATCACTGCCTGACACTGTTGTTGAAGTGAAATTCAATTGCCTGCCCAATCAGCTTCTGCACACAGGAATGGAACTGCAGGCAGAAGGGTTTCTTTTTTTTCTGGAAAGAAAAATCTCTTGGGTCAAGCTCACAGGTGTCCCATTAAGGAAATATTGGTGAGCTGAACGGAGCACAGGAAGAACAACGTTGCTGTTGCCATTGTGACAGGAACAAGGGAGACCAAACACATGTCTAAGACAAAACAAATTGTGTTCCTTTGCTCCTTCCAAAAAT